CCCCATTCCCTTTGTTGTTCAAATATGTGGTTTAACCACTGAATGTGACCCATAATGAAAGCTTTGACAAATATGTGGCCTCAAATTCTTTAGGTTGCCAATCAGCTTTGACAAATTCTTCCCATTTGAGCCTAAAGTCGTAATTCTTAACCTTCACTTTCATATTCTTCTCTATGTGCCAAGAACATAAACGATGTGTTGCAACAGGAAATATCTTCTCAATAGCATTACGCATGTATTTGTCCCCATCAGTAACGACAGTCTTGGGTTTTGCACCGAGCCTTCTTTGCAATGCTCCCAAAGCCCATACATAGTTTTCCTCCATCTCATTAGACAACAAGGCACATCCGAAGATGCAGCTGTTGAAGTGGTGGTTAACTCCTACAAAAATAGAAGCATATTAGTGAGTTCATGAAAACAGGCTTGCAGTCTTTAAACATGATATGCCATTCTCTGCAAAGTTTGTATACATTATGAACGTACCAGAAAATATAACTAGAAGCAAGTTAAACACGTTCTTCTTGTATGTTGCATCAAATGCCAATAACTCTTCGAAGCCTCGACAATCTGCGACCGAAATGCTATCTGCCCAAAACAGGTTCATGAGCCGGTCGTCATCATCTTTCTATAGTTCTAGGAAAAACTGGTCGTCCACGCTGAGTTTTGCAAGAAGGTATGCTAGGGCGGTAGCAGCATCACCCTCGCTGATTTGTTCGTTCCGATCTTTGTCTACAAAATTGTAGCAATCCTTTCGTGTGAACCCCATCTTTTGATAGCCTCCCGATTTCGTTAGGGCTAAAGAAACAATCTGATTCATCTTCATGCCTACCGCTCTTCAAAAAGTAATGGTTGCTTTAACTGCATCGCTCATTCGTCGATTCCCTCTCAGGTAGCATCTGTATAGTTGGGAACTGGATGTGATTGTGGTCATTATAAAAACTCTCTACAAACCAGTTCGAATCAACGGTGCTATACATAACGCGGATCCTAGCTTCGCAACCGAACCTTGTGTCACCTTTTAGCTCCCTCTTTTGTTCGTGCTGTGGATTGCGCTTCTTTCCCCCCGCAGAGCACACAAACCATTGCCATGTTTTCACTCCATCCTTATTTCGATATAGTTTTTATTTTTTGACGTCAAAGCCAGAGGCCAGCCCATAATCCCTCCAACGCTTTATCTATATTAACATATCTTAACGCATGGATATCGACTATTGTAAGCAGTAACAGATCTGTGAGATTGGGGTGCTTAGGAGGCAAACCTTCATCGCCAACTAGAATCTCGGAAGCAAACTCTGGATTATTGACTTCAGTGTTGTCACCCAATTCAACGGAAGCAGACTCAGGATTAGTGACTTCAGGGTTATCACCCATTTCAACGCCCTCATTTTTTTTTCCTGGGTCGTCGAATCGGATTAGCAGACTAAGGATTAGTGACTTCAGGGTCGTCGACTGGAATCTCGAAAGCGGACTCAGTTTAGAAAAGTGCGGAAAAACCGTAGCAGCTCACGTCTCCTCCTTTGGTAGTGATTACCCTTCCTTTTATATTTACGATGGGTCAAACCATACGACGCAGTATCAATTTTGAGACAGATTCATTCAAATTTCATCACGCGCGTGGGGCTTGGCGCGTCTCCGAATCCGTTTCCGCACAGGAGAAGGATTATCATGTCTCCAAGATTGGCTTGTTGTTCTGGTCCACATTACTATACAACTTCCCCATGACATTAACCAAACTAATCTTTTATCGACTTAGTAATTTGGTTACAAAGGTCAACTAATGTAACATAACGTTAATATAAGAGGATTAAACCACATGCATGTTAACGCATCAATCGTACTTTTCATAATTGCATAAATTACAACAATAAAATCAACACATAGTTAAACCTTAGTAGACATTTTTTCACAAACCCTTCCCAAATCCTCTTTTCCCACTTTTGTTTTTAGTTGAAACAGACGAAAGTTAGCCTACGGGTAATGGTGGGGATTATTTGAGCTTTTCTTTCTTTTAGTACTTAAATTGAATATACTTGTGTTGTTGTGAGTGCTTTAAAGTAACGAAGTTCCTATCGTTGTAATTTTCAACCATTCGATTGCTATTTGAAAACAAAAAATATATATTAAAAAAATGGAACGTTCTTCCATTTCAACTAAAATAAAGGTATCTCCGAAATTGTTCAAAATCTTCATTTGAATAGAATTTGCCTCATGGTTGAAGATAATATATTAAACATGAATCAACTAATTTTCTTTTCGCAGTGGGCTTGGAACACTTTTTATGGAAATCTTTTTAACTGTTAACTTATAAATAATAATGTGTTTGTTTAGTAAATATCATCAAATTATCTTTAATGTTGTTGGGAGACCCATTCACACAACCATCAAAATAAAATTTGGTGATTCAAATGCGGCAAAAATATTTGAATCGAATTAAATTTACATATGTATAAAATAAAAATCGTACACATATATTTGTTTACATGTCTCCTTATCACATTATATTAATATATCTATCTATCTATAGTTTAATTAATAGTGAGATGAGATTTCAAAATCCTGGCTCTAGAGCGTTTTGTGGAGGGGCTTTTTGGAAGATGGTAAATTACTTTACCAGGCTAACCGTTGCATGTGTTTTGGTTGGGCCTGATTTGTATTCGTCGGCCCAATTGAGAGAACTGGTGATACGTTACCTGCTCTCACTCCTCCCGATCTTTCTCCGTACTCTCCGCCACAAAGCAAAAAAGGTCTGCCTTCCCTCCTCCCACTTGACCTTCTGTTCTACTTCTTCCTCTTCCTGAAAATCGAGCCAACAAAATGAAACCAACCCATTTCAACTTCCCCCTCTCTCCCCCTTCTCCATTTTCCCTCTCTCGTTGTCTCTCTGCCCACGACGAGAGAAAAGAAAAAGGAAAAGACAACCAGAGCTTCACCTCCAACGATGATGGCGAAAGCGGCGACCAGAAGTCGAGGTTATTTTTTTGTCCGATCGATGGAAATAAAGAGGAGGAAAGCGACCGACGACTCAAGTCTTCACTGGCATCGAATAAGCGTATCTTTTTTTAATATTTTGGGTTACTTATGGTTTAGTTTCTTTAGATTCTAAATTTGCATTTTCCGTTGCTATTAATGAATTTCAACGATGATGGAGAAATACAACAAGCTGCAGATCTGTCGGAGGGAGAAGGGCTCTGTAGGGAGTTGGATTGTTGCGCCACTGTGGAGATTCGACAGATGTAGAGGCTCGATTTCTTATCCATGAGGAGCAGCCATCCGCATGATGACGTCAGAATTCGGTAGGCCACCGGAACGATTCGCCACTTGGAGGAGAATAGCTCCTCCTGCGATAAGCTCTAAAAGGTTGTGGTGGTGGGTTCGCCGCCATCTGTTGATGGCTTCGAGCGCGAGAAGCCTGCACTCAATGGAGAGTTTCCTCTTCTTCTTGACCTGAAACCCTAATTCGATTTTGACCAGAAACAAGTGAAAGACACCAAGAAATGCCTATGAAAAATAGATGAAATAAGATTGAATAATAAGACACTTAAAATGTTGATCGGACTTTAGTTATAACTGGGCCCGAAGCTTCAAGCCCAATTGATTAGTCTCACTGATCCAATAGTACTGATCAGTTGAGTAGCTCTGATCAACCCGGTGCGTTTCAAGGCTGAGCCTTCTTCTTCTCCCTCGTACTCCTCTGATCCGAATCCCCTGTTTCAATTAAGCACTTATCCAAGCAAATACTAACAGAAAGAAACAGAGTAAGATTCACACCACACACAATCAGAACAAGAGAAGAAATGCACGATCGGTTTTTACGTGGTTTCCAGAGTTGGGTCAATTGATTCCCAACTCTGACTATTCCACGGTCGGAAGATCACGATGATGTGATTTCCGACGATCCACTAAGCCTGCTGATTGTTTCTTGGTTACAATGATGTGCAGCTTCGAAATCCCTCAATCCAGTCCAGGACTGATGATTGAATCAACTCACACTCAGCTTTCTCACTAGCAATCCTGCTACTGTGTTTCACTCAACACAAACCCCTGACCCAAATTCTCTCCAGAAGTCGGATCAACCTGGCTTTTCTTATCACACACACGCTACAAACTTAGCTCTCCCTGTATGGATGATCTCCAGAAAAGTGACCTCCTCTTCATTCTCTTCAACCGTTTTATTTTGCAATCACCGTGTCGTTGTTCTTTCTTTCCTTTTCCTTCCTTGAATGGGTTTATGGCAAGAAGTTGAAAACTTTCCTTCTTGACCTATTCTGTCCGTTCTTGGTTTCTTGTTCAGCACGAAAGGTATGGACTTGATTTGGCTTCATTGACAAGCTGCCTCCAACAATCTCCCCCTCAGCTTGTCAATGATTCCCTCTTAAGAGACTGTTGTTCCTGCATGCTTTCCTGCACACAGTTCAGCAAACGGTTACGTGCAGACTGTTCTAACAATAGTTATAAGAGTATAAGCAAACTATGAGTAAAACAGAAAGTGAATTCTTTTATTCCAAGATCACATCAACTAGTCACAGCATACGATTCATACGACTGGAAACTGACACTTCCTAGGCACACTAGTGCACACAAAATCTAGACTCTAAACCTCACGTGCTCTTTACAAAGCTTTATTCAACAAACAAAACATGCTCTACTGGTTCGACTCCACGACTCAATGCTCACTCAAGCTCCCCCTACATAGGACACCTATGGTTCTTCAGTAACTTTAGAAAGGAAAGGTTGGAGAAGACAGGTAGTCAGAGATTTCTCCTTCATTTCCACCCAGCTCTTCCTCCAGGTCGGCAATGCTGAGTCCTTCGCCATCATCGGAATTTTCAGCTGCTAGTGGTTCCTCTGGAACAGCTTCATCAACCGGATCAGCTTCTAAGGGCACAGCAGGAACTACTACAGTCCCTTCTCCCCCTGAAGCATTGACACGAGGACGCCTACGACCAACAAAGGCATTCACTTTGCGAAGAACAAACTGAGCACGAAGAGTATCAATCAGATCAACTCGAGCCACTTTTGTAGCGAAGATCAATACCCAAGCCACGCAGCAGCAGAGTGATTTGAGGAGCAAATGGAAGTTCCTCATTGTAATTGTCATCACAGTAATGGAGCATGTGATTAAACATGAGATGAGGATAGCTGATAGGACGATTTTCTTTGGCACTAGCCATAATCCACATGTCCATGGGATAGATCCTATTGAGTCCATGAGAGCGAGGAAGGAAAACCCTAGTGATGAAGAAATGAAGCACTTTGAGATCATCAGGGAGACGTCCAGTGGCAAGCTGAGAAGAATGATATTCACCTGTATCCCTTGTGTACAGTCGAATAGCTTCAACTTCATTGAAACTAGCTTCCTGGAAGTCTCCTTCATCCAGAACTTCAGCACCAGCAATGGGATACCCAAGAAGGTATGACAAGATGTCGACTGTGACAGTGATCAGATAGTTATACACCACAGTGGTGAAGGTGGGAGGATCAGTGTTGAAACAGGGTTGCATGTTTGCATAGAACATGCGAACAACCTCTGGACGAAAGTTGTAGCATTGATCCAGAGGGAGATTCGACCATCCCACAGCATTGATCAATCCAGGGATGTTCATGTCATAGCGATTGAAACGAGCTGGATCAAGAGAGATAGAGGGACACAAAGGGCGATCTTGAAATTTGATGAGATAATGAGCATAGTCTTCTGCGTTTCTGAACCCCTTTCCAGTAAAAATGGTTGCCTGAGCCAGATGCAGAGGTACCTCGGGATTGATTCCGCCCATACTGACTTGGGGGGAAGTAGGGTTCTATTGAGAAATAACGGGAAGTGTGATGGAACTGCTCATCAACTTTTCGAGGGTATAAATACTCTTGCAGACAGAAGGGAAGTTATGGTAAAACGAATACAGAAATCAGAATTATGGAAGGAGGGGATCAGAATGAGAAAGAGAATATTTTCTGACCCTAAAGGCTGACAATAGGAAGTAAGTCTTGGAGCTAAAGAATAGGAGGGGTCATTCACACATAACGGTACTTAATGAATCAGAATCACTTCAGATTCTCAAGTTCTGACCAGGAAAACATACCAAGTTCACGACGATTCGCGAGAAAAAGATCTGAGCCCAAGGGCTTAGTGAAGATATCAGCTCATTGGCTGGAAGTGGGGACAAATTCCAAAGCAATTACACCTTCTTCGACCAAATCTCTAATGAAATGGTATCTGATTTCTATATGTTTGGTTCGAGAGTGCAAGATAGGATTTTTTGTCATGTTGATGGCACTGGTATTATCGCAGAGAACAGGAAGAGTTTTTAAATTAAGACCATAGTCTTGGAGTTGGTGCTTCATCCACAGAAGTTGAGTACAGCAGCTTCCAGCTGCAATGTACTCTGCTTCTGCTGTGGATAATGCCATGGAATTTTGTTTCTTGCTAAACCAAGAAACCAGAGAGGAACCTAGGAAATGACATGTGCCAGAAGTGCTTTTTCTGTCGATTGTGCAACCAGCATAATCAGAGTCTGAGTAGCTTATTAGTTCTAAGGAAGAATTGCTAGGATACCACAGACCTAAGTCTGAGGTGCCACTGAGATAGCGAAAGATCCTTTTTATTGCTGTGAGGTGGCTCTCTTTGGGAGAGCTTTGGAATCGAGCACAAACACAGACACTAAACATGATATCAGGGCGACTAGCTGTTAAATACAGCAAGGAACCTATCATTCCTCTGTAAAGTTTGTCATTAATGGGAACACCAGAGACATCTTTATCTATTTTGATAGTAGAGGCCATAGGAGTTACAGCAGATTTAAGATTTCCTAAATCAAAACGTTTGAGCATGTTTATCAAGTATTTTGACTGATTGATAAAGATTCCATGAGAAGTCTGTTTAATCTGCAGCCCTAGGAAATAGTTGAGTTCACCCATTAAGCTCATTTCAAAAGCATTTTTCATTTTTGACTCAAACTCTCTACACAAACTTTCACATGTGGCCCCAAAAATGATATCGTCAACATACACCTGAACCAAAAGAATATGATTGTTTAGTTGTTTGACGAACAAGGTTTTGTCCACCAGACCTCTCCTAAAACCATTTTCAAGCAGAAAGGAACTAAGTTTGTCATACCAGGCCCTAGGGGCTTGTTTTAAACCATACAGAGCCTTTTTTAGTTTATAAACGTGATTAGGATACCTATGGTCTTCGAAACCTGGGGGTTGGGCCACAAAAACTTCTTCTTTTAAATCCCCATTCAGAAATGCACTCTTAACATCCATTTGGTATAATTTAAAACGCTTTGAACTAGCAAAAGCACATAGCAACCGAATGGCTTCTAAGCGGGCTACAAGTGCAAAAGTTTCCTCATAGTCTATCCCTTCTTCCTGCAATACCCTTGAGCAACTAATCTGGATTTATTCCTAACCACAGTACCTACCTCATCAGATTTGTTTTTATATATCCACTTAGTGCCTATTATTACTCTATTCTCAGGTTTTGGAACAAGTTCCCACACATTGGCACGCTCAAACTGATGCATTTCATCAAACATAGAAGCAGTCCAGAATTCATCTTGCAGAGCTTCATGCACATTTTTAGGTTCAACTAAAGACACATAAGCAACAGTAGAAGGAAGAGTCTTTGATCGGGTAATCATACCTTGATTTATGCTTCCTATGATTTGTTCAGGAGGGTGTTGTTTCACAATGTAGGCGGGAGGGTGTGCTTCTGAGTAAGCTATATTGGTTCCTTCTTCTGATTGTATCTTACTGTCTTTCACCTTACCAGTTGCTTCCTCAGATTGTTGACCAAATGTCCCATCATCTTCTTTGGTGGCAGGCTGCTGCCTTCCAAGTCCAAAGTCGTCATCATCATAGTTATCTGTACTCACAGCAACAGATTCATCAAAAATAACATTGACGGACTCCTCAACCTTGAGGGTCCGTTTATTAAACACACGATAAGCCTTGCTGGTGTTTGAGTAACCTAAGAACACTGATTCATCAGATTTTGAATCAAACTTTCCTAGGTGGTCTTTTGTGTTCAATACAAAACACTTACAACCAAAGGCATGAAAATAACCTAGGTTAGGTTTTCTTCCTTTCCAGATTTCATAGGGGGTTTTGTTGACACATGCTCTAATTAAAGCTCGATTGACAGTGTAGCAGGCTGTGTTAATAGCCTCTGCCCAGAAATACTTTGGAATACCATAGTCATCCAACATAGTTCGAGCAATGTCTATGAGGGTTCTGTTTTTCCTCTCCACAACACCATTCTGTTGTGGTGTCCTTGGAGCAGAAAAGTTATGTGAAATACCTAGATCATTGCAGTACTGTTCAAATGATTCAGAGCAAAATTCTCCTCCGTGGTCACTTCTGATGCTGCAAACCTTGGCTAATTTTTCATTCTCAATTCTTTTAACCAGAATTCTAAAGTTTTCAAAGGCTTCATCCTTTTTACTAAGAAATAATACCCAGGTAAATCTGGAATAATCATCAACTACAACGAAGGCATAAGATTTTCCACCATAACTGACTACATTAGTAGGTCCAAACAAGTCTAAATGCAGTAGTTCTAGAGGCCTTGATGTAGATATGACTAATTTAGATTTGAAACTAGACCTGGTCTGTTTACCCCTAGCACAAGCATCACAGAAGAAGTCCTTTTTCTCATTTATTTTTGGAATCCCTTTGACTAAATTTAACCGAAGAAGCTTAGACAGAACACTAACATTAACATGCCCCAGTCTTCTATGCCAATCTTCTTGATCACTTTTATCTAGACTAATCAAGCAAGTCTCATTGAAACTATCCTTATAATTTAGATCAATAGTGTATATTTTCCCATTTCTTTGACCAGTAAACACTACTTGATTGTTCAGGATGTTCTCTACATAGCAACAGTTAGGTTCAAACACCACCCTGCAAGTCTTTCCACACATTTGACTGATAGACATGAGATTATGTTTCAAACCATCAACTAACATAACATTTTTAATGCAAGGATCAGTTCCTACTTGACCTTTACCAATGATGTGAGCAGAGTTGTTGTCTCCAAAATAGACTTTACCAAAATCTCTCAGACTGAGACTAGAAAACAGTTTCCTGTTACCTGTCATGTGATGGGAGCACCCGCTATCCATGATCCATCTGGTATCCTCAGTGCTCGCTTGCAAACAACTCTGCAAACACAAACTTCATTTGGTTTTCCGAACCCAGATTTTCTTGGGTTCGTGTGATGCATTTGAACTAAACACTTGATTATTCCATTGATGCTTAAGTTTCCTTGACCAACCAGACCCTTCTTTCCTAGCTTCTGACCACAATCTTTTCCTACACACTTTAATGATGTGTCCCTTTTTGTGACAGTAATAGCATTCTACTCTCTTTAGGTCTTCATTCTGTCTGATTGTAGATGTCCTAGATCTATGTGTTGTAGTTTGGTTAGTTTCTTCTCTACACTGATCATGTACATCCTTGATTTCCATACTACTTATTTTCTTTCTGAGCTCACTAACTTCGGTTTTACTAACCTCTAGTTCCTTTTCCAATTCAGCTATTCTTGTCAGATGCTCTAGATTTTCTCTTTTCATTTTACTATATCTCATCTTGACATTTCCGAATTCTACTTCAATGTCTCTGATAGTATCAATTAATAGTTCATTTTCACTCAAATTTTCTGACTCATGTATAGATTCAGTGTCACTTACCTGTCTTAGGTTGCTGTTTGGCTCGAGTGACTCATCTTCAAAATCAGCAATCGCCATGAACGATCTTTGGACAATAACTTCGTCGTCATCGTCCATTTCATCTTCACTGCAACTCCAAGTAGCTGCCAAGGCTCTCTCTTTCTTGAGTTGTGGGCATTCAGCCTTGATATGTCCTGTTCGGCCGCATTTAAAACATCCTGTTGTGTTGACACTCCTATTGTTCTGGCTCACATCAGTTCTGCCTCTCGAGAAGGACCTGAGTTGATTCCCTTTTACTCCGTTTTCATTTCTTTCAAGATCTTTGACCTTGCCTCCAGAATTGCCATACTTCTTTTCCCTTCGAATTTTGAGCAGTCTGCTGACTTGCTTACTCAGTAATGCCAGTTCTTCGTCTTCCATATCATCTAAATCTTCTGAGTCTTCCAACGATGTGATAGCTTTGAATGCAACTCCTCTTTTTCCTTTGTCATGAACTTCCTTCTCTTGGCTTGCCTTGTTCAGTTTGTCTTCATGAGCAACCAGTGACCCGATCAGCTCATCAACTGATATTTTTTCCAAGTCTTTCGCTTCTTCTATGGCTGTGATCTTCGGTGTCCATTTGTCTGGCAAACTCCACATGATCTTTCTCACGAGATCCCCACTTTCATACGACTTTCCCAGATTCTCAAGGCTGTTCACTATGTTAGTGAATCTCTCGTACATCATTCTGATCGATTCTCCTTCTTCCATCTTGAATAACTCGAACTGGTGCTTCAAGGAATTTATCCGAGAGGTTTTAACCTGTGAAGTTCCCTCATACGTTACTTGAAGCTTATCCCAGATTTCTTTCGCAGTTTTGCATCCTGCCACCTTGTGGTACTCTTCTGGACCAAGAGCACAGTACATCAAATTCGTGGCTTTGCAGTTCTGCTGAAATTTCTCGAAGTCTTCATCACTCCATTTTTCTTGATCTTCTTTGAGCTCGTGAGGTCCTTTCATAACCCTTGCCCAAAGTTTTGGGTCAGTCGAACCCACGAACAGCTCCATACGATTCTTCCAGTACCCGTAGTTAACCCCTTCGAATCGTGGCGGCCTATTCTGTGAAA